ATTTTTTTAATATTTTTGCATTTTAAAAAAGTAAATCAGAGCTGAATAAATGCAAAAATGCAGGCAAATTTGCCTGCTTCAGCCTACAATTTAAGGGATAACTTAGATTCTTTTAGAATATGTTTGTTTAATATATTGTAAGCCACAGAGCTCCAGTTAAACTCAGAAGTGAATCTTACTAGAGTAGTCATATACTTATTTTATAGATTCATCTGAATTATACTTTTATTGATATTTATGCAAACCTAGTTCCTGCTGTAGCTCTTTACTAGTTAGTTCTTTAAGATTCTAGTCAAATATTTTATGAGGTAAATTCTTCTAATCTAGTTAGCTACTAAGCAAAGTTGGTATTATTACTAATACAAGGTATTAGACTATATTATATAGTAAACTTATTCATATCTACTTGATCTATATCTTTTGTACTTAGGTTTTTTATTAGATCAAGTATTAACTAATGTAATCGTTGAAATCTATACTACTTCACCAAACTAGAGATTTCTACTATGCAAGTTTTCTGCTTATAAATTCTATTAAGATTTATTTGTATAATATAACTCAAATATTATATTATATTTCTAATATTTAATTGATATTAGTATAATGTAAATTATAGAGTTGTAATCTCTAGAAATAAATAGAGTTTACTATAAGTTAAGTATAAAATTTTAGATAATTATTCAAATTCATCAATAGTAAAATTTGAACTTTAGATCTTTTGTATAATAGTCTAGTAACCTAACTACTAAACTAAGATCACTAGACCTTACTAATTAAACTTTTATTAATTGAAGTATACAAAATTATATATATATAATTTTTAAAGTTTGTAATTATATAATGAATATACAATTAGTTACATATATAACTTTAGTTATTACTTATTTAAGTAGTTAGCATTTAAGTATTAGACTACTACTGCTTAAGTAGCTAATATTAAACAGTCAGAAATATTTCTATATTTGGTATATATTTAGTAGATCATTCCAAAATATGATTTGTTACACAAATATAATTACCTAAAAAAGGAGTTATCTAAAGCAGAGCAGAATCATGTGATACTCGTGATAATTGGCCAAAATCAAAAGCAATGATTAGTTAGAAAAAATACTTATTTTGAATAATTTTTTAAACTTTGAACGAAGATATTTTAGCAACTAGCTAATAAAATTCGATAAAATTTTTTTATTCTAATTCTACTGATTTATAGGATTTAGATAAAAAAATTTTTATCAAATTTTATTAGGTGGTTGCTGAGATACCTTCGTTCAAAGTTGTAAACGCCTAACTAAATTGAAGCTGTACTGAAACTATTTGAATTTTGAATGAAGATATCTCTGCAACCACCTAGTAGAATTTGATGAAATTTTTTTTATTTCGATTCTATGAATATTTAGAATTAAAATAAAAAAATTTTCATCGAATTCTACTAGGTGGTTACAGAGGTATCTTCGTTCAAAGTTTAAACGCCTAACTAAATTAAAACTGCGCTGAAACTATTCGAATTTTGAGCAAAGATATCTCAGCAGCTGCCTAGTAGAATTTGGTGAAAATTTTTTTATTTTAATTCTACAAATTCATGGAATTAAAATAAAATAAAAAAAATCATCAAATTCTATTAGATTGCAGAGATATCTTCGTTCAAAGTTTTAAACGCCTATCTAAATTGAAGCTGCACTAAAACTATTTGAGTTTTGAATGAAGATATCTCTGCAACCACCTAGTAGAATTTGATGAAATGCTTTTTATTTTAATTCTACAAATTTGTGTAATTAAAATAAAAAAAATTATCAAATTCTATTAGGTGGTTGCAGAGATATCTTCGTTCAAAGTTTTAAATGCCTAACTAAATTGAAGCTGTGCTGAAACTATTTGAATTTTGAATGAAGATATTTCTACAACAACCTAGTAGAATTTAATGAAATTTTTTTTATTTCGATTCTATGAATATTTAAAATTAAAATAAAAAAATTTTCATCGAATTCTACTAGGTGGTTACAGAGGTATCTTCATTCAAAGTTTTAAATACCTAACTAAATTAAAACTGTGCTAAAACTATTTGAGTTTTGAACAAAGATATCTCTGCAACTACCTAGTAGAATTTGATGAAATTTTTTTTATTTCGATTCTATGAATATTTAAAATTAAAATAAAAAAATTTTCATCGAATTCTACTAGGTAGTTACAGAGGTATCTTCATTCAAAGTTTTAAATGCCTAACTAAATTAAAACTGCGCTGAAACTATTTGAGTTTTAAACGAAGATATCTCTGCAACCACCTAGTAGAATTCGATGAAAATTTTTTTATATTAATTCTATGAATTCGTAGAATGAAAATAAAAAAAAATTCATCAAATTCAATCAGATGATTGCTGAGATCAAAGTTTTAACTCATATAACAAAATAGAATTCAAATAAAATTAATAATTTGTATAGCATTCATAAATAAATACAAGAATTTAAATACATGCAGATAAGCATTTATTATTTGTATTTTTTTATTTAATAACTGTTTCATTTATTTTTTTTAATTGCTCTATCAAATTCTTCTATTTATCACCTTGGCTTTATATAACAAACTAACCAGCTAATCTTTATCCACCATTCTGGCCCACAAGGCGTTTTGCCTGCTTACCTACTCAATTAGATTATAATTTTTTCTTCTTTATTCGAATCCTTTATTCACAGCCTTGGTTCATAGGACTGCTTTGCCTACTCACTCATCTAATTAGGCTACAATTTTTTCTTCTTTATTCGAACTCTTCATTCACGGCCTTGGTCTATAGGACTGCTTCGCCTACCTACTCGCCTAGCTGATAATTCTTTCAATTGTTTATATTTAAATAGTCAAACTGTAAGAAAAATAAATCTATGGAGACTTCTAATATCAAAACAAAAGTCTCTGTTCTCTCAACATCACCATCTTTTACAGTACACCAATATTTGGCTCGCACCTTTTTATTTATTTCATTTACAGTAAGTTTCAAATTTTCTTCTTTTTTTTGTTATTCAGTTTTGGCAATTTCTTCAATCACTAATTTACGACATTCATAAATATCAAACCTACTCTCTTCAAATATTCTCTAAAACGTTCTCCATACATTAGCAGTCAGTAATTTTGTGGCACTATATATGTATTTATAGAAAATATGTCTACAAGGTAAAAGGTAACAATTACAAAATATGCAGTTGCAACCAAGCGAAGTCAAACCTGGTGCTTTTTTCTTTTTTTCAAGTCTGCTCATCACAGCGCAGGCTTCCTTCACTAATAATTATTGAAAGAAGTAAGGAAACTTATGAATTTTCTCAAGAACATCACATGCTACACTGTATGTAGATATTTTTTTAATATGAAAGTTGAATGCAACGCATTCAGAATCAAATCGTTTCTTATTATCAAGGCTGATGATATTATGGGTCGCACCTAAAATAAATGATGAGAAATAGAAAACTTAACCTATTTTAAAGTAAAATTTCTCAAAGATTTGCATAATATGTGAGAAAAGTATATTACATATACCTATTAATTCATGAAACGAAGATGTAGCTCCTTTCAATTCACTGTGATAAGATTCCAGCAGATTCATAAAGGTAACTTGCAGAAGCAGGAGAAAATGTTGACGTGCTCACAAGGCCCACTGCTGTGTATTTTTTTTGTAGTTTCTTTCAATATAATTCCAGACAGCAGAGATAATGCTACAGTTAATAGCATCTTGAACAAGTTTTTCACAACCAATTCTTGTTCTTTTATGTATCGCTGCAATTATGATATCCTGAGGTTCTTTTTTATAGATTTTTGCTAACCAAATCCTCATTACAAGAACAACGCAGAGGATTATTTTACATTCTTGTTCACCAGCACTTATGCTAGAAAATGTTATTTTAATATCTTTTGCCTCAATACTACTTTGATCAAATAGTATATACTGGGAGGACCAGTGACAAAATCTACAGATTATTTTTAACGCTACCTCAACAGTGTTACTATCTTCGATACTAGCAAAGAAATGAGCATCTACATCCTAGCAGCTTTAGGCAGTATTATACGCAGACATTGTCCTATAAAATTGTGCAGATACAGACAGTTCTGAACAGTGTCTTATATCCCAGACAATGTCCTATGTCCGTGATGGTTGTCCTATGTATATAGTTTATCGAACAATCTGATTAGCTAACATAGCTGTTCTTATTATAATTTTAATTGTCTGGGACAAAAAAATATTAGCAGACATGTTCAGAAAATCTCGTACTGAACTGTCTGCTATTTGCGTCTATATCCCATGACAATACTGGCCATAGATATCATAAACATATAGGGTGAAAAGGCGCCAATCATATCTGTTAGTCTTATGTGTGGAATCAATAAGTGTCAACTACCTGTAATTCTAAAGTTTCTTTAGCTAAGAGGAATACGCAAAAACAATGCTTTTGGTGTTTTATTGGGGAACACAATAGTTCTTAACCTCTATTTTTGTTCTTTTAAATATGATACAGAATTTGAAAAATCAATTTTCAAATTAGAATCACCAACAAGATGAAATTCAATGGGCCTGCAAACTTTATACTTAATGTTAGTCACTTTCTTTCATTTTAGTTCATGTGTACTAGAACCAAGACCTAGCTTAATTGTTGCATATTCTTTAATAGCTACAGTTATCACCAGAGGTGAATAATTCTTAACAGCTTCTTGTTCCACAAGAGTTCTAATTGCTTTGGAATGTTTGATTCTCTTGATTTCCTCCAAAGAATATGTATGATCTGGAGAGTTTTTATGTCATTCAACATTCATCTTGTTTGTTAAAACTAACCAGATGACCTTTATTTTTGCTTCACATAAGCCTGATAGTCATGTCTTCATCATTCGGTATTTTTTTATCTAGATATTTTCTTGTTAGCAGGTGCTTGACTCTCAATGCTTTGTAAAATAGCAGATGAAAACCTTTGCAATATTACCACTCTCACTTTTATAGAAATTCTATTGTATCCAAATGTTAGTTACCAACGGCTACTAAGCATCATTAAAATCTTCCATTAGAATCTCTAAAGGAAAATTTACATTAAAAAGAAGACCCCTCTTTTCATCTGAAGTAAGGTTCATTATTGATGTAGCTTCTGATAAAGCAATACAGGATAAGTTCATACTCACAGCTTTGTAATATAGAAAAAAAATATATATATATATAAAATAAAAAAATAAATAAAATAAATAAAAAAATAAAAAATAAAAAAAAAAATACTAACTTTAGTTATTACTTATTTAAGTAGTTAGCATTTAAGTATTAGACTACTACTGCTTAAGTAGCTAATATTAAAC